GGGATTAAGGATTAGGACTGATCATTTGGCATGGAAATAACGATAGAGTTGCCATGGTTTTCTAACGTTGCCTTTGTGGAAATATGGTTGTAATAAGGAAAATAAATCACAACCCAGGGGAGGGTAGCTTTATTGAGGTCTTGATGTATTTTTTTTCCTGATTTTTCTGTATATAAGTTCGTCTATCGTCGGAATCACACTCCTCCTTATTTTTTTTTAACAGGAATAGAGTTATGTCCCTTGTTTCCTGTTTAGGATTGGATTGCCGGTTCCTTCTAAAGTCTACTTACGCTCAATACGTCTAACGTCTCCGACTAAACTCTGAAATTTTATTCACTAATCAAATCTTGACCTCTTCAAGCCTAGAATTAGCCACTACCTTTTAACATGAATAGAGTTATGTCCCTTGTTTCCTGTTTAGGGTTTGGATAACGGTTCCTTCTAAAGTCTACTTACCTCTGTACTTGTGAGTTTCCGTCTGAACTCTGAAATATTATTCACTAATTAAGACCTGACCTCTTCAAGCCTAGAATTAGCCCTTACCTTTTCTGCAAAACCCCAAGAACTTCAGTTTTACTCTTTCTTACGTTAATACAACACCACATAGTAACTCTCTAACTTGAGTAGCTCTTGTATTAGGTGAACATTAGTAACATTTTAAAAATATATAAAGATGCATTTTTTAACTAAAAGTTTAAAATTCGCTTGCACTGTAAGAGATTGGTGCAAAAGTATTCAGACATTTATGACAAATTAACTTCATCATGCGACTGTAGTGATGGACAAACCGGACTATACAAGAAAACTGGAAGACCTCATTAGCAATGGTAGCTACAGCATAGTGAAGAAAGATCCTACTATGAAAACGGAACGCAAACTGTCACAGATCCTAATCAAGAACAAGGATCACTTCGCACCCAAGATGTATAGGCAGTTATCGCAGCGTTACAGCAAGTTACCTCACATATACGGTCTCCCTAAGATTCACAAAGACGGTATTCCACTCAGGCCGATTGTTAGTTGCCAAGGCTCTGTGTGCCACCCTCTGAGTCGCTTCCTTGTAGATATAATTGACCCATTGATCGGAAAGTCTCCTTCATATGTCCGAAACCCCGCCCACTTCGTGGAAATAATCAAAGATGCTCCCATTCTATCCAACCAGATGGTGAGCTTGGACGTGGTGAGTCTGTTCACCAAGGTACCCACGGAGGAGGCACTCTCAGTAGTCAGAGATAGATTAACCTCTGACTCTTCCCTAGAGGAGCGGACCAGTATTCCAATAGATAATCTGATGGAGATGTTGACTTTCTGTACACAAACAACACACTTCGGAATGGGATCTCACATATATCGACAGGATGAGGGCTTAGCAATGGGCTCGCCATTATCACCAGCAATGGCGAATATATACATGGAATACTTTGAAGAAATGGCATTAGAGTCTATATCGCTAAAGCCAACTATATGGTTACGGTACGTAGATGACACTTTCATACTCTGGCCACATCAGGAAGAAGTCCAGGTTCTTCTGGACCATGTGAACTCAATAAGACCTTCGATACAGTTCACAATGGAGAAAGAGAGTAACAACTCACTCCCATTCCTGGATGTACTAATATCTCGAACAGAGAATGGGTTCAAGACATCCGTATACCGTAAACCAACATTCACCGGACAGTACCTCAATTTCAACTCCCACCATCCATACAGCGTAAAGAAAGGGATCGTCCGATGCTTACAACATCGAGCAAAAGTCATAAGTGGCGATCCAGAGACGTTAGATAAGGAATTGGTCAGTATAAGTAGTACCCTACAACGCAACAACTACCCTGGGTACATGACAGCAGCCCCCAAAAACTGGGATAGGCGGGTACAAGAGGAGGAGGAGGAGGAGGACAACAACACTCAGAAAACAGTCTGCCTGCCTTGTGTGAAGGGGTTATCAGAGAAAATACAAAAGATCTGTGGTCCATATAACATCAGGACAACCTTCAAAAGCGTGACAACACTTCGCAGGTATCTCTCACGAGTGAGACCCCCCATAGAGAGGAACATGACTAAAGACTGTGTATACGCTATCCCATGCAGCTGCGGAAAGGAATATAAAGGAGAGACAGGCCGCCCCCTCAAGGTAAGGCTTCAAGAACACCAGAAAGCTGTAACGCGAGGGGAAGTAGAAAAATCAGGCGTGGCTGACCACATATGGAGAGAGAAGGAGATCACCGCCCCTGTGGGATCATGTTGAGATCATAGACAGGGGAACACCATTGGAAAATTCGTAAACTTAAGGAATCAGCACATATGCTAGGCCACAAAAATCTCCTGAGCCGACCAAGCATAGAAATAAATACAATATGGGAACCAGTAATAAGGAGTGCCAGAGAAAAGAAATGATAACAAAGTTGCAATATGAACTCTGGTAAAGACATGCAATGATAAGAGCCAAAAAAAAATTGCAATATGAGCACTGGTAAAAATGATGCTGAAAACATTAGGTTTATAATACTCAGAAGTTCATACCCAGATGTCCTCAAGGACACATGGCACAGTGGATAAAGGCGTTGGTTAGATCCAGTGACAGGCCCAAAGAAGGTGAGTTCAATTCCTGGTTAAGGCAGTGGAGAACTTTCAGAGGGAAAATTAGCAGGAGATAACTGATAACTGACATCCATCAAACATGGCACGTGGAATTAGAACAGTCTACCCCAGCGATCGAAATAAAGGGTTCAGTTCGAAATTCCAACCACCTGAAGAAGGCCGGAGCGTACAACGGCCGAAACGTTGTGACAAATATGGCGACAAAGATGAGGACAATAGTCCGACTAATGTAAATACTGTACATAATACCTCATCTCAGAAATATAGACAAACTCTAACTTCATCATATAAATTCATAGCCACATTATTAACCCGTCAACCTACTTCCCTGGATCTTACGTCATTTTTGCATCTAAATTACTTATTCAATCACAAATAACGATTCCGTTTTTGAGCCGTTATATTCTTCGAGGATTTGTTTACTATTGTTCAACCAATGCAAGACCCAATATCTACTCAAAGTATAGTCTTACTATGAGGACGGACGTTCTTAGATTTCCATGTTTCATTTAAAAAAAATTACTCTGAATCTCGCCAAACTAAAGCAAAATATATTTTAACACTACACCCCGAACCGCGCTAATAGGTTGGTAGCAAAATTTAAGATCTCTCGGTTTTCTATGTATTGATTTTGCTAAAAAAAAATTTCGCAGCTGGTTTACACAATATGGCATCACCATTGTTAGGTTTTTATCATTATGTAACGTCCTTTATTTTTTATTTCAGATTCCACAGTTTTTTAAGTGAACCACGCTAATAACTTTTGAATGAAAGTAGTTCATCTAGATATTTTTAGAGAAAATGAAGGATGATGATACATATTAAGCATGCCTTGAGTAGATATTTAACAGAAAACCATAATAATATTACATGATTTATTCACATGATGAATTATTTAGACACATGAGCGCCATTTTGACGGATAACCTCAAAAGTTCTATTTGTCATGGAATCTGTCAATTTTATATCGTAGCATGTTTGACTGTGCCTGCTGCTGCTGCTGCTTTAATCGCCGCCCATAATATATCTTTCGACGTAAAATGGCGTCCATCGGCATAAACATTTTGTTCAATGATGGACCAAAGATTTTCAATAGGGTTGAGATCCGGAGAGGTAGGCGGCCACACTATCAACTTTTCACCTTGTATGCCCTAAGAGCTTAGGAATGCTTGGGTGATACTGTTAGTGTGGGACGGAGCGTTGTCATGCATGAATACTAGAATCTTTAGAAATGACAGAGGTATGTGGTCTAGCCATGGATCCATGACCTCTTTTAAGAGACTGCAGTAAGCGGCTGCTATCATTTTAAAGACTTCAGGTACCATGACTGGGCAAACAATTCTGTCTCCAATGTTACTAGCTGTTGTATATGGCGAACGAATTTTTTTTCTCCTTGTGAATTCGAGCCCCCGTCGTCAAGTGTTGTAGAGTACGAAAAGTTTTTCTTCCTCCATATGAGTTCGAATCCCTCGTCGCCAAGTTTGTTATAGAGTAGTTTCACAGTGGAGGCTTGTATTTCACTAAGTCGGTCCTAAAATAGGTTCGACGTACAAAACGTTAGGAACTTGATATAATAGTTAATGACGCAACAATCTAGTTGTGGTGGCTGATACTTTAATATCCGACTAACGGTCGTCCGACATCCACTGACTGACCAAATCCACGACTGACTCGTTACTATTACTACTACTACTACTTATTATAGGTGGGAGAGTCTATTAACTATAGAATAGGTGTGTTCCAGTATAACACTAGCCCACAACATGACTCCTCCATCCTGTTGATGACCTTGCAAACGTTGGTGACGCACGTCTCCCAAATAGACTCAACCATTTGCCCAACAGTCCGGTCCGTCAAGATTCGTTTTGTTTTCATCAGTGAACAGAGGACAACTCATGTCCAATGTCATGTACTTTCGAGCTCACGGAAGCCTCAATTTTCTGTGACAGTGCATTAAAAGAGGCATTTCCAAGGGAGCTCATACGGAAGATATGGAACCGATGATGCGATTCCTGGTGGTTTTCGGTACAGCATCGGTGAAATTGGCTTTGATATTTCCCCGGGTTTCTTGAGAGTCTTTCTCGTAATATTCCTTTAATCCGTAGCTTTCAGAGTCTTGGCGGTCCCACAATCAGATCGACATAATGAATTATTTGACCACATGAGTGACATTTCTACTGATAAATTCAAAAACCCTATTAGCCATGGAATCTGTAAAATTTTTATCGTAGCAGGTTTGACGGCCTCTTCTGCAGCTTTGGTGGTCGCCCATAATATATCTTTCGGCGTAAATTGACGTCTAACGCCATAAACGTCTAATTTAATGATGGACCAAAAATTTTCTGACGAGATCCGGAAAGGCAGATGGCCACATCATCAGATTTTCTTCAAAATGCAAAAACCAAATGAATAGATAGATTAAATATAATAAAATATTTAAATTTAATAGATAGATAGATAGATAGATAGATAGATAGATAGATAGATAGATAGATATCGTCATACAAGTATATTTTGAAGATCATTATGATTGCTTGCATGTGCGTTTTTTAATAATCGTCAAGAGTTGCCCTGGTGTTGTAGAGTGAACGAAAAAATTTTCTTCCTCCGTATGAGAACGAATCCCTCGTCGCCAATGTGTTGTAGTGTAGTTTTCACAGTGGAGGCTTGTATTTCACTGAGTCGGTCCTAAAAAGTTTCGACGTACAAAACGTTAGGAACTTGAAATAATAGTTAATGACGCAGCAATCTAGTTGTGGTGGTTGATACTTTAATGTCCGACATCGACTGACTCACCAACTCACTGAGCTCACTGGCGACTGCTACTACTACTACTTATTATATGTGGGAGAGTCTATTAACAATAGAATAGGTGTGTTTCAGTATAACACCTGGTCATGTACTTTCGAGCCCATTGAAGCCTCTAATTCCTGTGACGGGACATTAAAGGAAGCAGTTTCAAGGGAGCTCACACGGAAGCCATGGTTCCGACGAACGTGATTTCTGTCGGTTTTGGGGTCATGCTGCGGTGAAAATGGTTTTACTTGTTTGTCCGGGTTTCCCACGGGTCTTTCGAATAATATTTCTCAAATCCGGAGCTGTCATTGTCTTGGAGGTCCCACAATCGAATCGTTTCTTCCTTGGCGAAGGATCCCTCAGGAACCGTCTAACAGTGTTCATATGACGACATAACTTCTCCTCAATGACATGAAGAGAGGTGGCTTTAGCAATTTCCTTGATGATGAAAAGCGTTTCTTCATCATTAAGGCCTTTTTCTACGTCCTGCTGTCTTTAGAGAAGAGAGACGCTATAAGAAAAACTGTCGAATCTGTAATAAAAAATAAAGGACGTTGCATAGAATAATTAAAACCTAACAATGGTGTTGACATATTTTGAAAACCAGTTGGAGAAATCTTTATCAAAATTAATTCAGAGAAAACCAAGAAATCCTAACTTTCACTACCAAGCTATTAGCCTTGGTTGGTGGTATAGATTGGGTTGAGATTATTGAATGTTTTGTCAGATTTAACCACAATTTTATTTCCTTTCTATACTCATAATAAATGATTTGAAACTCATGCACAAGAACGACGAAGTAGCAATTTTCAATCACTATCGAAACCAAAATCTTCGAAGCTATCTGAAGAGAAAAGGAAGAATTCATCCACCAAAATTATTATGCAGTCAATGCCATCAGCTCTTCCATGCAAGAATTGGTCTACTTAGCGCACCATCATAAAGGAAGCGATCAGAATTGAAGAAATTAAAAGATAAAGCCGACGGCGACGTCTAATAAAATATTTTTATAGGCATTGTCTATCTTATCTAAAAGAATCTTTGCTGTGACGAGCAAGAATAAAACAAAGGTTTAAATGCTGGTTGACTTTAGCTTTCCTAAGTTCATGTGGAACCCATTTGCCTAGCTAGAGATGGTTTCTAAGGCAAGACCCAGCTGACTTATTTCACGAGTAATAAAGAACTGGACAACGTTCAAACTTCCGATTTATTTTCCGTCTTATGCGAGAGATGACGCTTTAAACATTTACATCAAGCCTAGTATATACGAAAGATTATAAATAGCTGTTGTCTTGCACAGCAATCTCTGGAAAACACCGTATCTCGGATGATCACTTATTTTAAGCAGCGCCGAGACTGCTCAGTAGATAGATGGTGACGGGTGGTGCAATAGATAACTGCTGGTAATTGGAAATCAGAGAGCCGACTTCGAATTCCAATCAAATTTACACTATTTGCATTATTCGGACTATTGTCCTCATCTTTGTTGCCATATTTATCACAACGTTTCGGCCGTTGTACGCTCTGGCCTTCTTCCGGTGGTTGGAATGTCAAACATAACCACGCTGGTGTAGACTGTTCTAGTTCCACGTGCCATGTCTAATGGATGTCAGTTATCAGTTATCTCCGGTTAATTCCCCTCTCCAAGTTCTCCACTGCCTTAACCAGGTATTGAACTCACACTCTTTGGGTCCTGTCACTGGATCTAACTAACGCCTTTATCCACTGTGCCATGTGTCATCGAGGTGGAGAACTTGGAGAGGGGAATTAGCAGGAGATAACACACCTCCATTAGACATGGCACGTGAAACTAGAACAGTCTACCCCAGTGAGAGAAATAAAGGGTTCAGTTAGTAGGAGATAACTGATAACTGACATCCATCAAAACATGGCACGTGGAACTAGAACAGTCTACCCCAGTGAGCGAAATAAAGGTTTTAGTTCGACATTCCAACCACCTGAAGAAGGCCGGAGAATACAACAGCCGAAACGTTGTGATAAATATGGCGACAAAGATGAGGAAAATAGTCCGAATAATGTAAAAAATGTACATAATACCTCATCTCAGAAATATAGACAGATACTAAAAAACAGCAATCTATAATTAATTAGTAAAACTTGCCTGACAAAAAATCATTATTGTCTCAAAAACATTCTTACTATCTAAAAATCTTTCTAGCTTTAAATAACCTGAAAAAGGTTGATAAACCGTAAAAAACAAATCAATATATAAAAACACATTAATCTCCAAGACTTAAATCAACCATTCCTCTTTAAATGTGTGATTACATTACAACGTTGCTTCGGAAGTAGTTCATTAAGCATCAGACTGCATGCTCGTTTTCCGATTGCAAGTGTTCTTTATTTTCTTATTAGAAATTCTTCAAGTATCCTTGACCGACCAAATGAAGAATGCAATTTCCGATTTTTCGATTAGCTTTTCGTAGTTTTAAATGACTGTAAATGACTGATTAAAGTTTATAACATCGAACATTGATTTTTGGGCGTAAATAGTAATGACTTTGTCTTCAAGCAGAATCTGCAATGTTTTAATGAACAATTAACTCAGTCTTCTTCGAAGAATGCTTAAATCAATTAAGTTTCTCAGAATTACTTTACAAAAAAAAAATGTTAAAAATCCCATCGACACTTGCAGCTCAGTATTCTTCTACTGTTAAACTGCATTTCTCCTCTCAAAGAAAATATAAAATTGTATTAGTTGACAGGCCTTGAATTTCATTTATTTGTAAGACAGTGTGTGTGTTGTGAGCTGAAATGAAATCAATTAGAACAAATTGTAATGATATAGCATTGTTTCACATTATGTTATTTTAAGCAAGTTATTCAGATGTGATGTCATCTCTTACAAAAGAATAAAGGTTTGTCCAAAATTCTAAAATCAGTTAATCTTTATAGACCATTATAATTTCTAATCACTATTTTTTTTACTTTACACTGAATTCGGACGAGCGTCCTCATCTTAACACTATTTACATTATTCGGACTATTGTCCTCTTATTTGTTGCCATATTTATTACAACGTTTCGGCCGTTGTACGCTCCGGCCTTCTTCAGGTGGTTCGAATGTCGAACTGAACCCTTTATTTCGTTCACTGGGGTGGACTGTTCTAGTTCCACGTGCCATGTTTTTTTTTTTTGTTTTCTGTTGTTTTTTTTAATGGATGTCAGTTATCAGTTAATTCCCCTCTCCAAGTTCCCCACTGCCTTAACCGGGTATTGAACTCGCACACTTAAAAAAAAACATGGCACGGGGAACTAGAACAGTCTAGAACGAAATAAAGGGTTCAGTTCGACATTCCAACCACCTGAAGAAGGCGGGCGCGTACAACGGCCGAAACGTTGTAATAAATATGGAAACAAAAATGAGGACAATAGTCCGAATAATATAAATAGTGTACATAATACCTCATCTCAGAAATATAGACATTCCTCATCTTTGGTTTTAATATCACGTTTCGGTCGTTTTGCTTTCCGTCCTTCTTCAGATGGATGTCGATCCTTGCAACCTTCAAGGAACTTTAGGACTGAACCCTTTATTTAATCTACAGATAAAGATTTTTCTCCTTCCGATGTCAGCATCAGGCATGATAGAAAACATGAGTTTCCAAATTCTAAGTTCAGGAATGAATTCACGGGATAACAGTCTGGTATGTGAATTTAGTGATAAAGTAATTACGAGTTCAGTCCTTAGGTTGGGTAGTAAAATTTTGAACAATAGAAAGCTATAACTGAGAGTACTAAATACGAAAAAAAGGGGATATCTTTAGACATCGACAACGGAACGAATAACATCTATGTCCTATTTAATAAATTGTTCATTCGAAACTTCCTCGAAGGTTATCTGGATCGACAGAAAAAAAGTGGTTTCAAATATGGCGGACGTGGAAACAATGGACTATAAGAAAATCAATCTATTTTTCCTGAAACCATTTTGTTTTCACTCACGCAAGATAGAGTGGTTTTAAACTTGATAAAACAAACTAACACCTCCATTGTTATACTGAGATATAATGTGACGCAATGTGCGTTCAGCATTTACCATTATTTTCAGTCAATAGTCGTCCCGCTGGTGTATCAGCTGTGAGAGTCCAGAATGTTCGCTGCTCTGTCGGCTGGGGCTTCGGAATACGCCAACAAGGCGCCTCAGCAGAGGGTATAAGATCCCGCCTCATGAGGCGTCCTGGCTAAGACGATAAACTATATACGACAGCAAGGTCTCTGATCACCAGGTTTTGAGAAGCGTGGAACCACCTCTTAATTGTTGGTGTTCCCAGGTTCACCCAGACTTGGAGAGGTAGCACCTGTTAACCCCAAACCGGGGTCAAAAACGCTATGAAAGTGTAAAAATAGGTTTAATACATTTTTGTAAAAGATTATTACCAGCAATGAATTTTTAAGAAAAAAAATACCAGCAATACTTTATTACCAGCAATACATTTTTTAAAAAAATATATTACCAGCAATACATTTTTAAAGAAAAAATATTTCCATTAATACATTTTTTTGAAGAAAAAACATTAGCAGCAATACATTTTTGAACAAAAAATATTACCAGCCATAAAAATCTTGTTGGCATTAAATAACCCATTGAGGAGTAGATATGCCATAAAACAAACAAAACCAAACCAAACCAACCAAAATGTTCGCATGCCACTAATTTCTGTCCGATAAAACTCTACATAGTTAACCAGTCGCATATAAAATGTCTC